TTCACCCATTCCGGTGCAATGCAATTGTTTGCTGTCTACAGAAAAAATAAATTGTTGTCATTGCTTTTTCTATCAAGTTTCCACCCTACAGTTTTCTATAAAAACATGTTTGTTTCTTTTTCATTAATGTCTTGCCTGCATTGTTTAATCGCTCCTACTACAGCTTATTGAAGTGGTCAGGGCTGGACTGGGGCAAGAATCTGGCCCTGGCATTTAAACTGGCTCTGTTACTTTTGGGGTCTTTGCATATTTCACAAAGATAAGTAATACAGCTACAGATCTGGAGTGGGTGCTGTGGGCACGAGGTGCAGGGAAAGGTAAGTTTTACTTACCTCAAGCTTTCCTTTGATGATGTCGCCATCTTCATCCTGCTGTACTCTTCAGCTCGTCTCATGGCACTTCATTTACCAGGTGCTTCCATAAATTGATGTTGAAATCTGCAGCTTTCAGCATTGACGACTGCTGAGGTTGGACAAAAGTTGATGGCGGAGCTCTGCCTTTTGTCAAATTTTGTCAACCTGCAACTTATCATTAGACAAAATAGTGACTGGTATCTTGTTTTAAAATTCTGTTATTCCAGTAACAAAAATGTTATATGTGAGTGTAATTTTAGCATATGATTGGTAGACTTGAGTGATATTTTTTCCTTACATACTGATAAAAAAAAACATATGTAGCAAGTACTTAGTGCAGGCCTGCAGATAAATAGTCACGTTGTCTCTTGGAATATCCAAAATATCCTATACCTATTTTATTTTTCTGAAAAACTGTGAAAGAAAACCATTTATTAATAAAACTCATTATTGTTTCTTACATCATCCACTAGACTTTTAGCCCAGATGCCCACCTATAAATTATGCATGTGTTAATCAGTTCTTTTTTTATTTTGGATTGAATTTGCAGTAGACTTTGAAAATACATATTAAACTCTCATGAGAGTTTAAAAGCGGACTATTATGCTAGGGGGCTTGCTTCCATGAATAGTACATTTAGAAATAGGTGAATAGACTAGGGAATTTTATTCACCTGGTTTTAAACTGACAACTAATGTGCTGCTACTTAATAACCAGACTGATGTCTGTCTGTCTATCTGAAAGTTGCTGAATGGGTCTAAATATTGATTAGAAAATTATATATGAAAATGTCAGGTTGTATTTACAAAGTTATACATTTGTTTTATGATCCCTTTGCTTCATATTTCTTCTTGATCACATTTTAACACACAGAATCCTAAGGTAATTTTAAAAGAAGAGAGAAAGAAAATGTAAAATTATGTCCGCTTTGTAAAATGGGTCTAAATTAATGTTGTGCATGAAATACCGTTTTTCCCATGACTGCAATTTTACCAGCTTCTAGACTGAAAAATAACATATGCAGGAATGAAATTAACATAATCTTTCTTTGCAATAAAATCCTGCAAGATCTGTTTCCTAAAAAAATGTAACTTATAGCCATTTAAAAGTGTTTTTCTTTTAACAGGTCTTAACAGAAATTTGCTAAATTAAAAAATGTTGGCTTACAATATTCCCTCTGATTTAAGTATAAGTAGTTTAAGCACTGTATTTACTACAGCCCACTGTATTGATTATGGTTTTTGCCCATACTCTCAGCCATTGAAGTTTGTCCATTGTCATTGGGTGATTTCAACTTGACTAGAAATGTACGGTATAACATGCTTCACTTTATTTAAACAGTCCTATATTATGTTTATTAAATGTGTACACTAACAATGAGCAAAGAGAGCACTTTTCATACTTTTTTTTTCTCTTTGTAAGGGACTGGGCAAGAAACACAAGGGGAAAACAAATGTCATCTATCCTTTTAAAGCAAAATTTCATACAGATTCCTATTTTCATAGAACCATTCTAATAACAAATCTGTCTCTTACTTCTACTGTTTTTCATTGTAGAGGTGTACATCCTGTTGGGCAGGTTGTCCTTAGTATATCTCCTGTTAAAGGGACACTCTAGGCACCATAATCACTTAATCTTCCACCAGCGCCATTCCATTATTCAGTGTTAAACTATTTTCAAACTGTTTGATACTGAATGAGAGGCCCCAGCCACTAGCAGCACGTCCCTTACTGCAGAGACACTTTGCCATATTAATAACAAGTCCTACTGTGATTGATAGGTCTGGTATCAAACGTAAGTCTGCTATCTCTCCCGGATTTCTCATGTGAAGGCTGAATATAATGGCTTATTATATTATTTTATTTATTTTGAGTCATTTATATCTAGTTCTAATATTTATTTGTGTTTTATTTAACAGATTGTCATGGAAGATTGGTATTGCACTAAAGCAGAATATCCCTTGCTTTGTTTTTTTTGTAGATGGAGTCTGGAGGAACCGTGCTAAGCACCAACTGGACAGATGTGGGCAAAAGGAAAGTGGACGTAAATCCTCCTGATGATATGGAATGGAAGAAATTCTAATATACGTCTTGGGAGTGCACACTATCTGAGATCTGCATTGTCTGCTGTTCAGCCTTACATGACCTTACAACTATTGTGTGCTTTCAGAGCCTTTTCTTTAATTAGAATGCCGTCATTCGTTGCTCTTAATAAATGTTGCTAAGTATTGAATCTGAAGTCTACCATATCTACTATTTTGCTGTGAGAAGCAGCCAGCCTAGTATTGTGTACAATAATGTTTAATGTCCACAATACCAGCTATTTTATTAGGGGAGTGGGGGTAATGTTAATCACATTTGGCAAGTTGCTGTAAATCTCTCACATGGCCTACTGTTTTCACTTTTATGAATTGCAAAATATAAATCTAAATTTCTTTTTCAAAAAAGTGTTGCTTGTTTATTACTTGTGCTCAGTTTGTGTTGTATGTTTATCGCTAATTCCAGTACAGATTTTAACATTAGTAGTTTGTAATTTCTACATTAGCAATGCGAATTCATGTCCTGTTTCATTTGCACATTAAGTTGAAAACACTGACTGCTGATTGACGTGAACGGAAATGGGTTGCTCATTTCATATCACTCTTATGTTTGTCAAAAAATAAACTTGATGAATTGGACAGGTATAATCAGGAGAACACAGACTTTGAAAGGGGCTCATTTCTTGCTAGATGACTTGGTACAAATGTAAGATGTAATATTTAAAGTTACTTTGTTGCCTGCAATTTTCAACCCTTCATAAAAAAATGTGATAAAATAGCAGAACATTAGAAACTTGGAATGTACAGCTAATTCATGTATGTAGAATATGGCAGCAGTTTTGTGCATATTGCTGTTTAGGGATACTTCAAAGATAACAGTTCAGTGCATTTACACTTTTAATCGGTATAAAACCTCTGCATGTCATCATATATTTCTTTGTATTTCAGTCAGGTTCTAAAACATTATTCTAGAAGCAGAATACCATTCTATCATATACAGTATGTGTGGCAAAAATATATAAAGAATATAAGAAACACATTCTATGTTTCTATGTAAATCAAAATACAGAAATGTGATTACATTTTATTCCTACAAATACCACCAACAAGTAATTACACTTGTATGACACGTGTACAGTACATATCTTTATCAAGGTGTTTATTATGAAATGTTTAATACTGTATTACCTCTAAAGAAGAATAGGTTGTCCTGCGCACATGAGCTTACATTCTAAAGAAACTTGGAAAAACTAGGCTGAGTTGTGAAAATGAGTTTTCGACACTCAAAATTTGACATAAAAATGACTTTTTCGCTGCAGCAAGATGGTGGATGTGAAAGATTTATTCAATCTTAGAGTATTTGAAGGCCTGTTGTTTGTTTTATGCAGACACTTGCTCATCTTGGACATTGTATTCCTCTTTTCATATTGTGCTTCACATAGTAATGTGTGATAAATTTGATGTTCAGGAAACCACTGCTATTTACCATGCTAGGCCAGACTCTTGTTTTGTTGGTTTTTGCCTGCTATTTATATGACAATTAATAACCTTGTACATAAAGAAATGGGCTGATTATTCTTCTACCTTGTCATTGTTGAATTAGACCCTGCACAGTACCCTGAGCTGATGTATTGAAATGATTTCCAAACTAATGTAAAATTACTTTATTCATTTAGCTTGTTATTTTCCATACAGTGGAACCTTTCTGCCTTCAATTCTGTTGCTGTGACAAAGTAATATGTACACTGTGTTCTATGCTTGAAGGTGTATTATGAAATCTCACATTATATTTAGTCTAATATAGCTTTCAAAATCCAAATTAAGTTTATCTTTTTAAAATTAGCATACATTAAAATAAAAGCAACTCTTATTTCATTAAAGAGCCACTATAGTGCCAGGAAAACAAACTCGTTTTCCTGGCACTATAGGATCATTAGGTCGCCCCCACCCTCAGGGCCCCCCTCTTGCTGGGCTGAAGGGGTTAAAACCAAGAGCCGCGCGCGCATTCAAAGTGCCCATAGGAAAGTGTAACGGACCGTTTCAGCACACAAGGGGTTAAAACCGTTTAGGCAATAGTCCCCTTTCAGAGATGCAGGCACAGCTACTGTAGAACACCAAACTCACGAACCACATGTAAGGGAATGCTCCAAACTCCCGAACAGCATAAAGTATAACTCTCCAAACTCAAGAACTGGAACCATACGAATAGCTGCTAGCAGACGAATAGGAAAAGCATCCAAGCGGCTTACACTCCTAGCAATCAGTCTCTATCAGCATTCAGTAAATCCCCCCAAAGACGAGACAAGGCTCCGTGTTGAGGGTCAAGCAGTGGTCTGTTTAATGAGGGCTACCTGCCCAGTATTTATGCAGGTCTCCCACCTGGTGGACACTCCCCTAGGGGACCAAATGGGAGACTGTGACAAAAGACAGACAATCAGCCAAACAGGACACACATTCACATTATATTCCCACAATGCATCCTGGCTTCCTCCCCTCTGCCCTGGAGATAATTGAGAAGTAATTCAATTATCTCCCAGGACAAAGGCAAATCGCCATTATGCACGCGGGGATACCAATACATGAATTACTATTAAAATGCATTACATGCCAGAAGTTACAATAAAACTATACATTTAACATATCTACTACTTCTGAAGAAGCCCCAGATTGGGCGAAACGCGTTAAGTAAGAGATTTGTTATTAACTTCTTTTATTATATCTTTTTATTTTGTGTTAATAAAGTTATAGTTTTTACTACTTTATTTGCTGTTCCTGATACATCTTGAATCCTGACCTATATCCTTTGCTGGGGATTATACCACCACATGCCTATACCAGAGCAAGATATTTGCTCTGAAATTTCTAAGTAGGATACTTTTCCTTTATTTGCTCATTTTTTAATAGATATACTATACCATTGGATTTTATCTTTTTTTTTTTTTATATATATATACCACTCTGGAGGATTGGACACCGCATTATACCATCACTTGATATCCTGAGACGGGGATTGTACCGTCTAGGCGCTGTACGGCAGAGCTCTGAGTAGCTCTGCAAAGTGTGAGTGAGTCCTTTATAAGTTTATATATATTCTCATTTCGCTTGACATACTGCACTATTATTGTTCTTTACTCTTTTGCCTTGAAGGTTTTATACATTCCTAACCACAGGACTTTTTGTATGTATATATTTTAATTATCGTTTGCACTATCTGGGCACGGTTTACCACTTTTGTTCTTTCTATTTAACATATCCCCAGATAGCTCAGGTCTGAGCGCGCATTATTAAGCGAATGGCGCTCAGACTACACGAATACAGTTTAATCGCCATGGAGCCAAAGTCTTTACAAAGTCAGTTCTCATACGAATGAGCTCCATGGGATTCCTTTCTGGGGTATAGTGCAGTCAGGTACAACTACCGAACTGTGTCCGTTTTTAGTTCCATGAATTCAGCATCGAACTCCGCTGTGCGTTTGCGTGTTTAAAATGGCCGCGACCTCGTGTTCGTTATACGAATGGCAGCCACCCAGTATTCGTCAATTAAGCTGCGGTTAACCGCAGCTTCTGGGAGGCTAATTGCCGGCACACTCCAGCTCCCAGGTGGTCTAGTCATTCGTGTGGTTGTTCGGTAGATTGAATCTACCGAACACCGGGCAGAAAAGCACGAATAAGTCTTTTATGCAGGGGAAACAAAGTCTTTTAACATGGGGCCATAATCCAGAGGTAGCAGGCGAGCAACCAGGCTTCTCCAATGCAATGTGGCGAGATTGCTCTCGTCACAGAAAGCATTACTTAATGCTTTCCTACGGACGTCTAGCATCTTGTCACTGTGATTTTCACAGTGAGAATTGCGGAAGCGCCTCTAGCGGCTGTCAGTGAAACAGCCAATAGAGGCTGGATTAACCCTAAGTGTTTTCAGCTGCAAGGTTAAAACTGAAGGGACCTGGCACCCAGACCACTTCATTGAGCTGAAGTGGTCTGGGTGACTATAATGGTCCTTTAATCTTAAACCACTCTATTCATTCGGTGCAAATCTTCCCCAACACACATTTCATTTACTTATTTTTGTTTGCCGCTTTCATCGAAGCTGTACTTTTCAGTCTCATGTAGAGAAAAATACAACTGGGAAAAGACTGGACTGAGAAACCTGTCCAGCTATTAAAAAAATGGAGAGGGAGAGCAGCTGCATATTTAAAAAAAAAACATGGCCACACAAGTATAGTTAATATTCCAGGTTTATTGGCAAACCATTATATAGACAATCAGGCACGGTGGGTGGGCCTGCTCTTGCAAGCTGTCAGAACAACACTACATTAACAGATTTATTTAACCAATCATTGTTAACAGGAGTAGTCCCAGAAGATTGGAAGTTAGCAAATGTTGTGCCCATTTACAAGAAAGGTAATAGGGAGGAGTCGGGCAACTATAGGCCAGTAAGCCTTACTTCAGTAGTGGGGAAAGTGATGGAAACCATGTTAAAGGATAGGATTGTTGAACATCTAAAAACACATGGATTTCAAGATCAGAGACAACATGGGTTTACTTCAGGGAGATCATGCCAAACTAATCTTATTGATTTTTTTGATTGGGTAACTAAAATTATAGATCAGGGTGGTGCAGTAGACATTGCTTACCTAGATTTCAGTAAGGCTTTTGACACTGTTGCACATAGAAGGCTTATCAATAAACTGCAATCTTTAAGTTTGGATTCCAATATTGTTGAATGGGTAAGGCAGTGGCTGAGTGACAGGCAACAGAGGGTTGTAGTTAATGGAATATATTCGAAGCTTGGACTTGTCACCAGTGGGGTACCTCAGGGATCTGTACTTGGACCCATTCTCTTTAATATTTTTATTAGTGATATTGCAGAAGGTCTTGATGGTAAGGTATGTCTTTTTGCTGATGATACTAAGATATGTAACAGGGTTGATGTTCCAGGAGGGATAAGCCAAATGACAAATGATTTAGGTAAACTAGAAAAATGGTCAGAATTGTGGCAACTGACATTTAATGTGGATAAGTGCAAGATAATGCATCTTGGACGTAAAAACCCAAGGGCAGAGTACAGAATATTTGATAGAGTCCTAACCTCAACATATGAGGAAAGGGATTTAGGGGTGATTATTTCCTGATGACTTAAAGGTAGGCAGACAATGTAATAGAGCAGCAGGAAATGCTAGCAGAATGCTTGGTTGTATAGGGAGAGGTATTAGCAGTAGAAAGAGGGAAGTGCTCATGCCATTGTACAGAACACTGGTGAGACCTCACTTGGAGTATTGTACACAGTACTGGAGACCGTATCTTCAGAAGGATATTGATACCTTTAGAGAGGGTTCAGAGAAGGGCTACTAAACTGGTTCATGGATTGCGGGATAAAACTTACCAGGAAAGGTTAAAGGATCTTAACATGTATAGCTTGGAGGAAAGACGAGACAGGGGATATGATAGAAACATTTAAATATATAAAGGGAATCAACACAGTAAAGGAGGAGACTATATTGAAAAGAAGAAAAACTACCACAACAAGAGGACATAGTCTTAAATTAGAGGGACAAAGGTTTAAAAATAATATCAGGAAGTATTACTTTACTGAGAGGGTAGTGGATGCATGGAATAGCCTTCCAGCTGAAGTGGTAGAGGTTACCACAGTAAAGGAGTTTAAGCATGCGTGGGATAGGCATAAGGCTATCCTAACTATAAGTTAAGGCCAGGGACTAATGAAAGTATTTAGAAAATTGGGCAGACTAGATGGGCCGAATGGTTCTTATCTGCCGTCACATTCTATGTTTCTACATGTGCCATTTATCTTTTTTCCCCTGTTATTTTTATTTCACATTGACAAATATATATTCATTATCTGTTTCCACTGTTTCACTTGCTTTCATTTGTTATTTTTCCCCCCTCATTTTCATCAAAGGAATGTCATTATGGCTTACTAATTAATGTGTTATTAGACCGCTTTCTTAACCCTTATATATAAATGCGACATTTCCATTTATGTCCCTTGGTATTGGGATTACCCAGTGATAGATCTATGTGATGCTGCCTTTTTTATATAGCTGTTGGTGTAGTTTGCACAATGCAGTGATTGATATTAGATAAGCTGGAAGGATTTAGAGATTTTATATAAATGAGTCCCTTTAAAAATGATCCAACTATTGACATTCGAGTTCCCATGGTATAGAGGCAGTGTGTTCGATGATAGCGGTACTCGTTAATCCGAACTTTGTTTTTTTTCATAAGATATGGCATCATATGCTGAGCAGAGTATGTTGCTGCCTGAGTATACTAGGTGTTATGATGCCAAATGCCATGGATTAATGTATACAACATGCACGTTCACAGCAGATTCACACAGGATGTATGGCATTGAAATGAAGTGAAATGGATTTTATATAAGTGCATTTCACAAGGAACAGATTACTCAATGACAAACTGTAATGAAGAACAGGTGATCTGTGGACTCAATTTCTGCCTTATCCATCTTCTTTAATCAAAGGCTTCGCTGCATGAAGCAAGAAATTAATATGTGAAAGATGTTTCAGATTCGCTACGTGATGTTCTTGAAAGGAAATTTTCATTAACAAACACTTCATTTGATTCAATGTATACAGCAGAGCGGGCTTTGCCGGGTTTATGGATTTATATACAGTGGCAAAGCTTTTATGGTTGTATTAAAATAAGCTAAATATCGGTCTGTCTATTTATCGAATGTATCTCCCCTGTGTGTGCCTTACAGGCAAAGCAAGAGAGTAAAGATTAGAGAAATAGTTTGAGGAAAAAAGCAAAACAACTTTTGATCATTTATATATTGTCTATGTATTTTGGCTGATGTATACTGTTGCCCATGAGTAGTGAGAGTTTGAGAGCAGGGCTTAATTTTGTGTTTCCTTCTGTATTAGAGCCATGTTAGAGTGCTGCTGCACTATATTAAGGGTTAATAACTGTGATGGGACGCATAAAAAAAATACCCCTCTTTGTCTCATTAGAGATTTTACCTTTTCACCAAAAGAAGCAAGGTGAATTGTTAGTATAGGACTTGCCTAAGAGGTTTGCTTTGATGTGGCAGGTGAGCTTACACTTTAATGGTCATTGGAGCGATATTAACAAACCTCCAGTTATTTAACCCCTTAAGGACCGTGGACATACTAGGTATGTCTGACTAAAACGATCCTTAAGGACTGCGGACGCACCTAGTACAAATATGAGCGCTGGAAGCGATTGTGATCACTTCCAGCCGCTCTAAGGGTATAGCCTCGATGTCGAGGCATCCTGCAATACCTCTCCTGACTGCAGGGCCGCCCAGCAGCGTAGCAGAGCATCAGAAGCCATCAGGCAGGCTTCCGATGTTCTGCCTCTGTGCTGAGTGCCTTGAGTGGTCGAAGCACTCAGTGAAGACTTAAATTTTTTTTTAAAACAAATAAAATAAATATATTAATTTCTCCCCGCCCACCACCCAGCCATGTGACTTTCTTAAGGCAGTGCATCATGAGGCTTCTGAGGGTGTCCCTTGCCTGCCTCATCCAATCATTGCTTGCCCCTATAATAATAATTATTATTACTATGATCCCCATGTGTCGGGTCAGGTCAGTATTAGTAAATATTGACTCTGATCAGTGTGGATCTCCCTCCCTTTCTTAACTTGTGTTTTTGTGAGAGAGATCTGTGTTTAGGTAGAGAGGTTTAGGTAGGGATTTGTAAAATTGTGAGACCCCAAAGGCTCTTTTCAGAGCTATTAACCCCCTTTCCTGCCAGTGATCACTATAAATCACTGGCTCTTGCACAGCAGCACTTATTTTGTGGTCTGTGCATTTTTTTTAGGGGTTATGATCATGTTACAGAGGTTGTAAAGCGCTGAGGATGCGTATGCCATCCTTGTGTTAAAGTCTGATGCATCTATGTCTGACTCCGACCCTGATACAGTGTCTGCTGCTAGTGATGTATCTGTGGCTGCTTGGCCCCCTGCCAAAAGGAGATGTGCTGCTCCAGCTGGCAGTGCTGCTGAGGAGTGGGTAGCGTCTCATCGCCAGAGCCAGATATCCCTTATCCGCAAATCCTGGCATCAATGTGGATGTCGCAGCATTTAGCCCCTAACAGTTTATGGAGGTGTTTCTGGGCGATGATGTATTGGGGAACATTGTCGCCCAAACTAATTTATATGCCCATAGGTTACGTGCTTCAAAGCCTGACTCTTTTTTTGGCAAAGCAGCGATGGACCCCCATCGATGTGCCAGAATAAAAAATAAAATTCATGGCATTGACAATGCTGATGGGCATCATAAAGAGGCCCTCCATCCGCTCCTACTGGAGCAGTAACCCTATCTGCTCTACTCACAGTGTATGTCGAGGAAGAGGTATGAAATGATTCTACATTTCATGCACCTCAGTGAAAACAGCCTGTGCCCCTTGAGTACCCACTTCGCTGCCAGGTTTGTAGAGGCCTATACACCTGGAAGGAATATGTGCGTGGATGAATCCCTGATGAAGTATAAGGGAAGGATGTGATTCAAGCAGTATATTCCTTCCAAGTGCTCCAGGTATGGTGTAAAGGTGTATAAGCTCTGTGATAGCGAGAATGGGTATATTCAGGCGTTCCGGGTGTAAGAGGGAAAGAATACCCACCTTGACCCTCCTGGTTGCCCAGAACATATGGGAACCAGTGGCAAGATTTTCTGGAACCTGATATTCCCCCTGATGAACAAGGGGTATCACTTGTATATAGACAATTTTTATACAAGTGTCCTTTTGTTCAAGCTACTGTATTGTTTTGAAACAGTTGCTTGCGGTATAATCAGAAAGAAACATGCAGGTTTCCCAGGACAACTTGCACGCGCCCGGCTATGAAGGGGGGGAAGACCTTAGCTCTGCGCCAAGAGGAGCTGTTGGCAGGTAAGTACATAGACCAGAAGAACATGTACTTTCTTACCACCATCCACACTCAGCAGACTGTGGAGGTCTCTGTACGTGGCAGAGCTGAGAGCACAAGGAAGCCAGTGTGCATCAAGGCCTATAACTGGCATATGGGTGGGGTTGGTCTGGAAAAATAGCTGCTGCAGCCCTCCCTAATTATACAAAAGACAAGGGCCTGGTACAAAAAGGTTACAATTTACATAATGCAGATTGCAACCCACAACAGTTTTTTGCTGTTTAAAAAAGCAAACCCAGGAATCCTCAAAGATGCAGTCTGTTTCAAGAGAGGGCAGAGAAAGGACACAGTCTTTTACTGTCCTGATTGCCCTGGACAGCCTGGACTCTGCATTGGGGACTGCTTCAAGCGATATCACACTTACGTTTGCCGTTCAGTTTTTGTTTTTTTGGCTACGTTTACTCCGCCAGACTATTTTTATGATCAAGTTCAACCTATGCATGGGGGTATGGGTGTACTCAGGAGGCCTTGCTTAAAACAACCTGGAGTGTTTTCTTGCAATAACCATCAGGCTCCCCTAAATCACACACAAAGGTACATTGGGACCTCGGTTTATGAATTTAATGCGTTCTCTGGGACATTTCTTATTACGATAAATGTGTAAACCGAAAT